GAAGACCTGCCACGAAATACAACTTGGGAGTTTAATTTTAAAACGTCCGACCTTTAAAGATATAGATTTTCGCTACTTAATGACTCTACGTTACGAGATACTGATGTTTCATTGATGTTGAGTGGGATAATTTTTCGAATCAATTTGTATCATTGACGTACGTGTGTGAGGGTCAGGTGAACCAACCAGCGCTCCATCACGTTTTATCTTCCCTCGTCCCCCCTCCTGTCTTCACCACACGCCCACCCCCCTCACACGCCCACCTCCCTCTCCCCTCCACTATATCACTCCCCGCGTCTCTTATTGTCATATATACAGTAAACCCTTCACCTCTAAGTCCAATACATGAATTAAGTCTAACTACACATTTGGTCTCGTTTTGTTGAGTCTACCCTCAAAATAACCCGTTTTCTTTGTCCCCTTTTCACCCCCTATTACGCTATATCTGCGCCATGTTTTTTCTTTATAATTTTTATTTATTTTTGTTAATTGTTTTATCTTATTCTTCGTTTTTTGTCATTTTTTTTATTATATTTTTCCATGTTTAATCTATGCTTGATTTTTTATGACTTATTATTTACGGCTCGTTTTTGTTGTCTGATTGTTTGATAGACTGTGTTGATGTTTTATTGTCTGAGTGTCTGCCTTAAGTCTGAGTGTGATAGATAGATATAGTTGATAAATACTGTATATAAAAAAGAGAATGACACACACACAGACGGACCCTGGAGCCTCAAGTGGGTCAAGTAAGGGAAGGAGATGGCGCTATGAGGCTCTTCACCGCCAACAGTGTAGCTCACGTCAGTATAAGTTTGACCTTTTGATCCCTGAGGCAGATCTTGAGAACCTTGTTGCTCTCATGTCAATTTGTCTCACTCACTATCTCTCTTTTCTCTCTCTCTCTCTTTCTCTGTATCTCTCTCTCTCTCTCTCTCTCTCTCTCTCTCCCACGGTATACAGTATAATAGGTTACCTCGGTACACTATACGTTTAAGTTAACTAATAGTATATAATTACCTGTGGGGTAATAACCAAATTAAATAATCATATATAACTTGAATTAATTGATTATATATACACCGGTTATTTAATGGAGTTATTAGTGTGGGTTGTTTGCTTCTTTTATAATAATGGTAATAATAATCTGAGAGAGAGAGAGAGAGAGAGAGAGAGAGAGAGAGAGAGATACCAAACATCTCTACCTGTACGTGACTACTACAGGTGCCTGGCCTCTGTCTATTTAGCTGGATAATAAAACTTACAACATCCTGTCCTGAAGAAACGCCTCCCCTCCAATACGTCATTTCCGGATTATACAGAAAACGGCCGAGTTAAAGTAATGAGGGAGGGGAGACTTAAGCAAGAGTGGGTGTGTGTGTGACCAAGACTTACTCATAATGTATTGTACGTTCTTATAACTACTGTACTGACTGTCTCTCCCTGCCCCACACCCCCTCCCTACACCCACACCCACTCTTCCCCTCCTACCCACACACCCCTACTCCCATCCCCCCCTCCAAAGGTCTTATAATCAGCATCATATCGGCTTTTAAATTGTCTTATATAAAACTGTTGGTGTTATGGAAGACTTTATATAATACCTTTAGGATATATAGTTAAGTTATTCCTTGGTGTTAGTTTACGGTGTTACTGTGTTTAAAAAGACTTAATTTAGAGTATTTTCATTGTGTGGGGGGGGGGTGATTTTTATGTTTTATTTTACGGGTTACGAAAGTGTTTGAAGGAAAAATTGACGAACGAAGGGGGGAGAAAAAAGAGGAGGAAGGTGGGGCTTTGAACGATAATAAGCGAAGTGTCAGGAAGTTTGTTCGTTTCCGGGTTCAGGGAGCGGAACATAATGAAAAAAATAGTGAAGATAGAGAAACATTTGAACGATGATAACTGCAGTGTCTAATGTTGCGAAACCAAATGAAAAAATAAATAAATCATAATAGAAAATCCTTAGATCACTGAACGATAGATGATGGAATGTCTGGTATTTTGAAACTTAACGAAAAGAAATAAAAATAAGATAAAACAAAATGCTGGAAGGATACGTGATGGTGAAGTGTGTGAGGTGCATTCTGATGAGTAGTGAAGGGGGGTATAGGTAGGAGTGGTGAGAGAAGGAAGGAGTGGTTGCCGTGCTTGCGGTGGCTGTGGTTAACAATGCAGCCTGTACACGAACGCAAATATTGGTTGGATTAAGATACCTCCGTGTCTTCATGCATTGTGGAGAGAGAGAGGGAGAGAAAGAGAGAGAGAGAGACCCTGTACTTGATGTAGTCTCTCTCTCTCTCTCTCTCTCTCTCTCTCTCTACACCGGCACAATTCCTGACACCTGCACGTAGAGATGGTTGTGTACAGGTGCTGTGGTGGAAGGACTAGAACACCTGCGTTTATAGATGATCAGAGGCAGCAGGTGTCTGTGTGTGTGTGTAGCGTGACGAAGACAGATGTGGGCGGCCTCATGAACACGTGTCTGGGTTTAGTGGTTTGGGGAGGGGGGGGATGAGGGGAGGTAGGAAGAGGAAGAAGAATAATAGCAGTTGATTGAGGAGGAGGAGGAAGAAGAGAATAAAGGAGAAAAAGTTGAAGATGGGGGACTTTTTCATCCACCTCCCTTTCTCTTTCTCTCTCTTGTTTTCTTCTTCTCAGTCTCCCATTGTTTGTCCATCTGTCTTCATTTTTCCTCTTTTTCTCTTTCTGTCTTTAGTTTTTCTTTCTTCTACTCACTCATTTGTTTTCTTTCTTTCTCCCTCTCGCCTTTTCTCTCACTCTTTCTTTGACTCATTCTCTCTCTCTCTCCCTTGAGCTATAGACGTCTCTCTCTCTCTCAATACACTTCTCCAATCACCGCTTTCCTCTTCTATCGCTCTCTCTCTCTCTCTCTCTTCTCCTCTCTCTCTCAACGTTTTCCTTTTATTTTCTTATTTTATTATCGTCTGTTTTCCCTCCAGCGGTCAACAGGTGACGTCATCTAGGCTATGATGTCAGGCAGGGGCCGCCCATATATGGACACCAGGAGGAGGAGGGGGGAGGGAGGAAGGAAGGTTGAGGTAGGAGAAATGAAGAGAGAAGGGGAGAAGGGAAAGGGTAGGGGGATGAGGGGAAGGGGGGAGGGGTCAAGAGGAGGTGAGGTAGGGCCGGTTAAACAAGCCTGACTGCACACCTGTCCTGTACCTCGTCTCACCGGCCTGGCTAGCTGCACCTCCCCTTCCTGTCATTTGATAGACAGACGGACAGACAGAGAAACAAACAAACAGACAGGCAGAGACGGAAAATAGATTTCATTATCCCATAACTTACACTCGTCCCTTTAAATGAGTTGTAATATCTAAAAATTTCCTGAATGTCTGTCTGTCTGTCTGTGTGTTGGTTCATATACTTCCGTCTGTCTGTGTCTGTCTGTCGTTGTATCTTCACTACACTTGTTACTTTGGTTTGTCCTTCACGGTGACTTACATGTGTGTGTGTGTGTGTGTGTATACCGTATGTGCACCAGGCGATATATAAGTATATAATAGTAGTGATCGCCCGACTGTCTGTGTGTGCATGATGGCAGTGACCGCGGGAGCGTAATGGTCGCGACTGGCTGACTGTGTGCGTTATGGCAGTGACCGTCTGTGTGTGTGCATGTGCGTAATTGTAGTGACCGTCTGACTGTGTGCGTAATGGTAAAGGGTGATCGTAGTGACTATGTACACTTAATGGTAGTGTACATGTGTGTGTGTGTCTGGTGTTATCTAGGAGTGTGTTAAGGTGGTGTGGTGTCTGTAAGCATGTCTGTCACTTTCATGTCTGTATGTGTCTTGTGTGTGTGTGTGTACTACCAGGGTGTTATGTATATGTGCGTGTATGCTACCAAGATATATGTGTAAGTATGTATGTATGTATGTGTCACCTGGTGTAGGTTACACTTCGTTAGCGTTTGCCGATGTTCAACTGTGTGTCTCCCAGCCAGCCATCACCACCACACCACCACTACACCACACCACCACTACACCACACCACCACCACACCACCACCACTATATCACCACCACCACAACACCACACCACCACTACATCACCACCACCACCACACCACCACACACCACCACATCACCACCACCACTATATCACCACCACACCCCCACCACCACACATCACCACCACCACTACACCACACACACCACTACACCACCACCACCACCACCACCACTACATCACCACCACCACTACACCACACCACCACACCACCACCACACCACCACCACTACATCACCACCACCACTACATCACCACCACCACTACACTACATCACCACCACCACTACACCACCCTGAATTATTTATCATCTAACATTTCCAAAAGGCCACTGACAGAAAACGATGGAACTACCCAACACTCCACCCCATACACACACTACACCCAGATCATGTACACCTCCCCACTAGTGTCAAGTATAACCTCAAAGACATAAAAATTATATAAATCCAGGTAGTGTTAATGATTTATATACGTGTTCTGTACTGGGTTACTCACACACAAATCGTTTCTCAACACTCTTATGAAAAATTTCTTCTTGATAAATGGTATTAGAAAAACGTATTAAGTTAGGGTCGTGTCTTGGAGGGATACAGTGAGGCAGTTGGATGCGTTCGTTAGGTCGTCAGTAGAAAGACGGATTCAACGCTCAGATCACCAAGAACCCGGACACTTATGAGATTAATTCAACAAACTGACAGTCTCACTTAAAGCTGTTGGCGACTTGAGGATAGCTGCCCAAATCGCCTCCTGAGAAATTTAATCTTGTGGATACTGTGACTGTGTGTTGTGTGGATACTGTGACTGTGTGTTGTGTGGATACTGTGACTGTGTTGTGTGGATCATGGATAAGAGACCACGATGATTGTCTCTGTATGTGGATGTACTTTTATAAGGCGGTAATGCGAGCCGGCAGGGACCTATAGGACAGGTGTTAAGTGAAGATGATAGGAGAGGGAGGTAGGGACGTACCTTTGTGCCGATCTGGTTGCCGCACTGGCCAGTCTGGACATGTACGATCTCTCTCATCTTGAGCGTATGTGTGTGTGGAGAGGAGTTTAACGGAGAGGTGTTGCTGCGCCCGACACTCACGGCACTCAACTGTCAACTGAGACCCAGCGCGCGCGACCCCACCTTTTCTCCTGACCACAGCCCACACCCGTCAACCCAGCATCCACCGTCGCGACAACTACAAACTCTTTTAAAAATTACAAAGTGGCGTAGAGGCGATAGAAAATAATATTAAAAGTCTTACTATATGATATTCTAAACTGTTAAAACATTGATTGATTTTTAATTGAGGTTTTAGATGTTTGTTGGAAGCTTGTGGTGGTGAAGGAGTGTAGGTGGGGTGACCAGGACATTGTGGGAGGGGCTGTCTGCCACGGCCCACCGCTTCTTCTTCTCCTCCACCTCCTCCACTTCTCCCTCCTCCACCTACAACCACTCTCCCTCGTCTTAACTCTATTCTCCCTTCTACCCCTACCTGGTTCACGTCATAATATTTACCTTCTTTGTAGTTCCTCCATTCTCTTCTCTCCCTCCCACAATATTTATCCTTCTCTTATTCCCATTTATTATTCATTTTCTCTTCTTCTCTCCGTTTATTAATACAATTCTTGAAGTTTCTCTCCCTTTTATCTCTCATTCTTCATTTTATTATTAATCTCTCTGGCTTTATTCCTCGCCGACTCCATTGGTCAGGAGTGGGGTGGGGGGGGGGTGCTTCTGTGCATTCGTTCCAGCGGCTGTATGTGAACAAGTTTCCCCTCTCTATCTATCTATCTATCTATTTATCAATCTATGGACAAAAATGTGTATCCAAATTGGTGAGAGGACGAACACACACACACACACGTAGAGGAAATGACTGAGTTCTGTATACATAAGGTCAGCCTTGGTACTTCTGACCCCTCCCTTCCCTTCTTCTCCCCTCCCTTCCCTTCTTCCCTCTCCCCTCCCTTCCTCTCTCTTTTCTCTCTCTTCCCTCCCGTGTTTCCCCTCACCTCCTCCTCCCCTCGAAACACAATTCCAGGAACACTCGTGTATTTCCCCGTGTGTCAGCTGGCAGTGTCATGGCGGCCCAGGTCTGTGAGGCCAGTCAACTGTCGGAAAGTGTCACTTATATGGTGTCACGTGATCGATATATGACACCAATTATGAACTATGTCACAAATGGCCTCAGATGATCGTTATGACCCCAATCATATCCCAAGTCCATTTCTCCTCCAATTATAAATGACAACACAACCAATCACAGTAGAGTCTCAGGTCAACTTAGCCGCCATCTTTATATTGTATCTCCTGAGTCATAACACCTCTAGAAGCGTCATCACATCAGCTACGGGAAAAGACTGACGTAGGAGCCTTTGAGAATCCAGTAGCTGCTTGTCTACAGGATGCTTACCTGGTTTAACCTAACCTAACCTAACCTAACCTAACCTAACCTAACCATAACAAAGACTTGATCATGCAACTTTATGTAGTAGTTTAAAGTGGACCAGTTAGTTGTCTCGTTACGTCACCAGTTAAGTGGACAATTGAACCTTAACAGCTTCCCAGTATTCGGGTCTTGGACAGTGAGTTTATATCTTAACTTAATATTTACGTGGGTCGTCTGTTTAGGTTTGGAAAGGAATTTATTTTGGTCTTGGAGAGAAATTGTGAGGGTTTTAGTGGGTTAGTTGTGGATTAGGCACCCTAGTTTATTCCACCTGATGATTTAAATCCCCTTAATCCTACCTGTCGGGGTTAGGTTAGGTTAGGTTAATCATCAGGTTAGATTAAAGTTAAGTTAGGTTGTTTAATCAGGGTGGTGTTGGGTGTACAGGTGTGGTTGAGGGGTGACCAGAGACAGTAGTGTGGCCGGGGATGATCACCTGTCACACCGCGCGTCTCACCTCACAGGTAACGAGTTTAATTAAGGATTATTGATGGAGCAAAGTGTGTGTGTGTGTGTGTGTGTGTGTGTGTGTGTGTGTGTGTGTGTGTGTGTGTGTGTTCTTATGTTATTATATTCTCATAAGTTATTAATTACATCACCTGTGCGTATACCTGCTTTACTGTGACCTCTAATACATGGGTTTAACTTAACTTTCTATAAACCAGGAATATAAACCTCATCCCTTCATCTGGAAAAACTAAACACCTGAGACTGTATAAAACCTAACGTAACCACACCATCATAAACCTCAAGTCATTTTTTACCTGTTAATTAGTGGAGCAACAGAGGGGGCAACAGGTAACCCTAAGAGATACACAGGTAATATTAACTAATTATCACACCTGACACCTGTTGATCCCTCATTAAATAATTAGACATGGAAGAATTATTTTGGTTTTTTCTTAAGTAATAATTATCCTAAACGTTCATGGGTGTTTGTTTTATAGGTCAGGTCAGGTCAGGTTAGGTCAGGTCAGGTTAGGTTATGATTAGTACATTAAAAATCATAAGGTAAAATAAACAAGGGTGACTAATCTTCACCTGCCTTTACAACATAAATATAACTAGACAGTCAAGACACCAGTTTAACACCCGTTTGACAGTCAGTGATATAATGTGACAGGTGACAAGTTTAACAGTCACTTAACGAAGCAACTGGAGGAGACATTAACTGTGATTGGTTATATGAATAGTGGTAATTAGAACAGGTAAGATGAGTTAATGAGGGACACCTGATTCACCTGTAATTAAATAAGTGTTGGGTAAGCAGCATCGGTTTTTGTTTTTAGTTTTTAACTAATTCTCTCAACCTGTCTGTCTTTCTTTCTATTTTTTCTCTATTTTATCTCTCTTCCTCTCCCAGGTTCAGAGTGCCTGTGTTCTCGACCAATCAGCCTCCAGGTGTGTGTGATCTCGACCAATCAGCCTCCAGGTGTGTGTGATCTCGACCAATCAGCCCGATTATCGTCAAGGGGTTTACACTCTCCACCAATCATTACTCACTGGTGCTTGTGTACTCAGCCAGTCATCGTCATGGCTCCTGCGTTTTAAACCAACCAATCAACTATCAAGGTGTGTATGTGTGTGTGTTTCTGACCAATTATATACGTTCACTTGCATGTTCTTTCGTATAATCATCGTCAAGGTAAATGTACTCCCAACCAATCATCATCAAGGTGCATATACTCCCAACCAATCATCACCAAGGTGCGTGTGCTTCCAACCAATCATATCCCAAGGTGTATGCGGCCTCGACCAATTACCTTGCAGCACAGGTATAGAGCGGCCAGCCATCACAGGTGTGCTACTCACTGCCGGGTTTTACGACCAAGACTTATTAGGGTGAAGGAATATTAAGGGTGTCAGGTGTTGGTGTCAGCAGCCAGTGCGTAGAGTGACTGGCGCTTCGGCTGTCAGCGGTCATGACGGAGACTCTAGTGTGATTATTATTCTTATTCTTGTTCTTCCTAGTTTCTCTCATTATCATTGGTTAACTATTTATTGACAGTTTCTATACCATTATTCCTCTCTTACATTACGTCTACAAGTATTACAGTGTTATTGGTTCTTACTGAGGGTAGTTAAGGCGTATTACACTCATTAACCCTTTGACGACGATTGGTTGTTAAGGGTGTGGTCCAGGGGAGGTGTGGGCGAGGGTGTGAGTGTAGATATGGCTGTGGGTGTGGGAATGGATGTGGACGTGAGTGAGGATGTGGGCGTAGATGTGACCGAAGGAGGGTAAGGATGTGGGTGTGGATGTAGGTATGGGCGTGGGCGTGAGGTGAGGCACATAAGGCAGTATAGTGATGGTGGACCAGATTACTGATGACCTGGTGGGCGTGAAGGCTTCTTCTTCCTTCTTCTCCTCCTCCTCCTCCTCCTCCTCCTCCTCCTCCTCCTCCTCCTCCTCCTCCTCCTCCTCCTCCTCCTCCTCCTTGTGGTAGTGAGGCTGATGGTTGGAGGCCTTATCACTGGCTCTGTCTGCCTGCCTGCCTGCCTGCCTGCCTGCCTGTGCCTGCCTGCCTGCCTGTGCCTGCCTGCCTGCCTGCCTGCCTGTGCCTGCCTGCCTGCCTGTGTCTGTCTGTCTGCCTGTGTCTGTCTGTCTGCCTGCCTATCTGCTTGTGGCTGTCTGTCTGTCTCAATGTATGTATGTATGTATGTATGCAATGGTGATCGTGTGCACATGAGCGTGTTGCGTGGGTGGGCGCGCGTGTGGGTGTGTACCTTCAGGACAGGTCTTGCTTGGCTGAGTAACTGGTGAGTAACCCACCCCCTTCCTCACTCTCCCTCTCACCACTCACTCTCCTCTCTCTCATGTCCCAGGAGGTGCTCACATGTCCCAGGAGGTGCCCACATGTCCCAGGAGGTGCTCCCATGTCCCAGGAGGTGCTCACATGTCCCAGGAGGTGCTCACATGTCCCAGGAGGTGCTCACATGTCCACACACTATCTTTCCGCCAGGTGTCCGCAGAAAGGTTCCTCAGATGCCTTTAAATGTCCACCTCCCCCCACACCTGACCTCGACTAACCACAACTCACATCAGCGTATACAAAGGCTTCGTTTAGTACGAGAAGGATTATATGACCCCTTTAAAAGACTGTGTTGTAGGCCTTTAAGTGACTCTTTTGTGGGCCTTTAAGGGACTCGGTTGTGGGCCTTTAAAATAACTGGGCCGTGGATATTAAGGGGCTGGGTTGCGGGTATTTAAATGGCTGGGTAGTAGTAACCTTTAAAGGGAAAGAGAGTGATACGAGGCGTCGCTCTGGGTGGTGATAAAGGACCTCTGGGGTGTGGGTGGCCAGCCATTCTTCTTCTTCCTCCTTCTCGTTAGTGTTGACGAGAGGCACAGTGAGGCACGGGAGGGACGACGACCCGGGGCAGGGATGCATGATAATAAACAGTGACAAACCCAAAACTTTCACCAGTTCTTCGGGACTGTCTCCAGGAGTGAGGCTGCCAACTGCTGCCATTGCCTCCTCTCTCCATTTTCGTCGAGTTTTTTGTTTAATTTTCATCTAAATATGAGAGTGTATTTAGGGTTTGTTCTCTATATTAGGTGAAAAAGGTCTTAAGGTCGACACGTGTAGTACCAGAGAGAGGTGAAGGCCGAGAAGCGCAAACCAACCGGGCGGGTGGTGTGAGCCGGGCCGGGTACTGATGTGGGTGAAATATCCACCCGGCCAG